GTCGGCGCCGGCGTCGTCGTCGTCTTCGGTCGGCGTCGACGTCGGCGTCGGCGTCGTCGTCGTCGTCGTCGTCTTCCGTCGGCGTCGGCGGCGGCGGCGGCGTGGGCGGCGGCGTGGGCGTGAGCGTAGGCGTGGGCGTGGGCGTGGGCGGGGGCAAGGGCGTCAGCGTCGGCGTCGTCGTCGTCGTCGTCGTCAGCGTCGGCGTCTTCGTCGGCGTCGTCGTCATGATCGTCGTGGTCGTGGTCGTTGCCGTCGTCGTCGTCGCCTTCCGTTGTCGGCATCGGCGTCGTCGTGGTCGTTGTCTTCGTCGGCGTTGGCGTTATGGTCGTCGTCGTGGTCGTCGTCGTGGTCGTTGTCGTCGTCGTCGTCGTCGGCGTCGGCGTCGGCGTCGTCGTCGGCGTGGGCGTGGTTGTCGTCGTCGTCGTCGTCGTCGTCGGCGTCGGCGTCGACGTCGTCGTCAGCGTCGGCGTGGGCGTAGGCGTCGGCGTCGGTGTCGGCCTCGGCGTCGTCGTCGTCTTCGTCGTCGTGATCGTCGTCGTCGTCACCGCCACGTCCCATCTGGGGGGAGGCGGTCTGTGGAACCTCTGGTACCCATCCTATCTGGGGGGGGTCCTGTGAAACCTAGTCCCAGGGTCATGTATACCCCAAGCCCTCGATACCTGCCATGTTCGTCTTCGATCGTGCCCTGGGGGGTCTATCGTCCTTGCCTGCCACATGTACTTGGCGCGGCCCCTAAAATAGGAAGACGGGAGAGAAAGGGGAGGGGAGGGGGGCAAGAGGGAGATAAGAGAACTGAAGACGAATCATCCTGGCGAAGGGCCCGACCATCGTCTCAGTGGATCGTCTTCGGTGGAGCTCCCTACGAGGTCACGAAACTTTTAAAACGTGTGCCGAAATGGGCGGGGAACCGCATGCGAACACCTGCCACTGGGGCCTTCGGTGGAGCCCCCTGTGGGGCCACGAACCGTTCGAGGGGTGTGCCGAAATAGGCGGGAATCTGCCTGTGGACACTGCCACTGGGGCCGTTGGTGAAGCTCCCTACGAAATCACGAAACTTTTGAAACGTGTGCCGAAATGGGCGGGGAACCGCATGCGAACACCTGCCACTGGGGTCTTCGGTGGAGCTCCCTGTGGGGCCACGAACCGTCCTAGGGGTGTGCCGAAACGGGCGGGAAACAGCCTGTGGACACTGCCACTGGGGCCGTTGGTGGAGCTCCCTGTGGGGCCACGAACCGTGTGATGGGTGTGCCACAGCTTGCGGGAAACCGCATGCAAACCCTGCCACTGGGGCCATTGGTGGAGCTCCCCGTGGAGCTACGAACCGTCCTAGGGGTGTGCCGAAATGGGCGGCGATCTGCCTGTGGACACTGCCACTGGGGCCTTTGTTGGAGCTCCCTGTGGGGCCACGAAAGAAGTGAGGGGTGTGCCGAAATGCGCGGGGAACCGCATGCGAACCCTGCCACTGGGGCCGTCGGTGGAGCTCCCCGTGGGACCACGAACCGTCCGAGTGGTGTGCCGAAATGAGCAGTGATCCGCCTGTGTGCACTGCAACTGGGGCCGTTGGTGGAGCCCCCTGTGGGGCCACGAAACTTGTGAGGGGTGTGCCGAAATGGGCGGGGGAAAGCATCGAACCCTGCCACCGTGGACTTCGGAGGAGCTCCCTGTGCGGCCGATGTGGTGTGCCGGCATGGGGCCTGTGGCGGAGCTCCTCGTTGTGCCACGGAATGTGCGAGTGGTGTGCTAAACCAGACGGGGAACCGCATGCCAACCCTGCCACTGGGGCCTTCGGTGGAGCTCCCTGTGGGGCCACGAACCGTTCGAGGGATGTGCCGAAATGGGCGGGGATCCGCCTGTGGACACTTGCTGCTGGTGCCTTTAAAGGAGCCCCCTGTGGGGCCACGAAACGTGTGAAGAGTGTGCCGAAATGGGCGGGGAACCGCATGCGAACCCTGCCACTGAGTAGCCGTCGGTGGAGCTCCCTGTGGGGCCACGATGCGTTCGAGGGGTGTGCCGAAATGGGCGGGGATCCGCCTGTGGACACTGCCAGTTGGGCAGTCTGTGGAGCTCCCTTTGGGGCCACGAAGCATGTGTGGGGTGTGCCAGAATTGGCGGGGAACCGCATGCGAAACCTGCCACTGGGGTCTTCGGTGGAGCCCCCTGTGGGGCCACGAACCGTTCGAGGGGTGTGCCGAAATGGACGGGGATCCGCCTGTGGACACTGATGCTGGTGCCTTTAAAGGAGCCCCCTGTGGGGCCACGAAACGTGTGAGGGGTGTGCCGAAATGGGCGGGGAACCGCATGCGAACCCTGCCCCTGGAGCCGTCGGTGGAGCTCCCTGTGGGGCCACGATCCGTTCGAGGTGTGTGCCGACATGGGCGGGAATTCGCATGTGGACACTGCCAGTTGGGCAGTCTGTGGAGCTCCCTTTGGGGCCACGAAGCGTGTGGGGTGTGCCAAAATTGGCGGGGAACCGCATGCGAACCCTGCCACTGGGGCCTTCGGAAGAGCTCCCTGTGGGACCACGAACCGTTCGAGGGGTGTGCCGAAATGGGCGGGGATCCGCCTGTAGACACTGCTGCTGGTGCCTTTAAAGGAGCTCCCTGTGGGGCCACGAAACGTGTGAGGGGTGTGCCGAAATGGGCGGGGAACCGCATGCGAACCCTGCCCCTGGAGCCGTCGGTGGAGCTCCCTGTGGGGCCACGATCCGTTCGAGGGGTGTGCCGAAATGGACGGGGATCCGCCTGTGGACACTGCCAGTTGGGCAGTCTGTGGAGCTCCCTGTGGGGCCATTAAGCGCGTGTGGGTGTGCCAGAATTGGCGGGGAACCGCATGCGAACCCTGCCACTGGGGCCTTCGGAAGAGCTCCCTGTGGGACACCGAACCGTTCGAGGGGTGTGCCGAAATGGGCGGGGATCCGCCTGTAGACACTGCTGCTGGTGCCTTTAAAGGAGCTCCCTGTGGGGCCACGAAACGTGTGAGGGGTGTGCCGAAATGGGCGGGGAACCGCATGCGAACCCTGCCACTGGAGCCGTCGGTGGAGCTCCCTGTGGGGCCACGAACCGTTCGAGGGGTGTGCCGAAATGGGCGGGGATCCACATGTGGACACTGCCAGTTGGGCAGTCTGTGGAGCTCCCTGTGGGGCCACGAAGCGTGTGTGGGGTGTGCCAGAATTGGCGGGGAACCGCATGCGAACCCTGCCACTGGGGTCTTCGGTGGAGCTCCCTGTGAGAAACGTGCGAGGGGTGTGGCGGGAAACCGCCACTGGGGCCTTCGGTGGAGATCCATGTGGGGCCACGAAACGTGCGAGGGTTGTGCTGCAATGGGCGGGGAACAGCATGTGGACACTGCCACTGGGAGCTTCGGTGGGTGTGCCGAAATGGACGGGGAACCGGATGTGTACTCTGCCACTGGGGCCTTCGTTGTATGGGGCCCAGTGTGAGGGGTGAGCCAACATGGACGCTCGGAGGGCAGAAGGACAAGGAGGGGGAGGAGGGGGAGGAGGAGAGGAAAGGAGAGGAGAAGGGAGGAGAGGAGAGAGGAGAGAGGAGAGATGAGAGAGGATAGAGGAGAGGAGAGGAGAAGCGAGGAGAGGAGAGGAGAGGAGAGGACAGGAGAGGAGACACGGGGCGCCGCCACTTTGAAAATTGGGTTGGCGAAGGACCCAACCATGTGCAGTTGTGAGTACAGCAGTTGTGGGTATCGCCTTCGGTTGAGCTCCCTATTTGGGCCACGAAACGCTGTGCTGGGTGGGGGAGACGAATGCGAATTTTGCCACTGGGGCCTTCGGTGGAGCTCCCTATGGGGCCACGAGACGCTGACATGGGTGGGGGGGACGCCCGTGGACACCGCCACTGGGTTCTTGGGTGGAGCCCTATGGGCCCACGCAGCGCTGCAATGGGTGGGGGAGACGCATGTGGACACCATCGCTGGGGCCATAGGTGGAGCTCCCCATGGAGCCACGAAACGCTGTTCTGGATGGGGGAGACGCATATGACACTGCCACTGGGGCCTTAGGTGGAGCTCCCGAATTGTGACACCGCGACTGGGGCCCTCGCGGTGGAACTCCACATGGGGCCACGAAGCGCTGTGCTGGGTGGGGGAGACGCATGTGGACACCGCCACTGGGGCCTTAGGTGGAGCTCCCTATGAGGCCACGAAACGCTGTGCTGGGTGAGGGAGCCGCATGTGGACACCGCCACTGGGGCCTTAGGTGGAGCTCCCTATGGGGTCACAAGACGCTGTGCTGGGTGGGGGGGCCGCATGTGGACACCGCCACTGGGGCCTTAGGTAGAGCTCCCTGTGGGCCCACGAAACGCTGTGCTTCTTGGGGGAGACGCACGTGGACACCGCCACTGGGGCCTCAGGTAGAGCTCCCTATGGGGCCACAATGCGCTGTGCTGGGTCGGGGGGGGCGCATGTGGACACCGCCACTGGGGCCTTGGGTGGAGCTCCTTATGAGGCTACGAAACGCTGTGCTGGGTGTTGGGGGGGCGCCTGAGGACACCGCCACTGGGGCATTAGGTGGAGCTCCCTATGGTGCCACGAAACGCTGTGCTGGGTGGGGGGGACAGATGCACGGATGGGAGGAAGGAGGAAAGGGAGGAGGTGGAGTGAGGAGACGCGCGGCGCTGTCTCTTCAAAACGTGGACCCAACACAACAGGATGGTTGGGAACAAGAACCCAACACCACAAGATGCTTGGGAAACTAATTAGCTGGAGGGGGCGAAAGGAGAAACGGTACGATTTGCAGGTAGACCCTAGTGGGCAGGAAATTGCGAGAGCGCGATTCTTCGACGTCGAACACGCAGCGCCTGAGAAACTCATGTGGAAATCACAGGCGACACCGGGATCCCTCTGTAGCTTGCAAGAAAGGGTCGAATGAAAGAGCGGCCCCCCCATCGCTTTCTCCCACCCTCCCCGTGCCCACCCTCCAACTCCTTCCCGCGCATTTCCCCCACCCCTCTCCCCCTCCCCCCCCTGGTCGGCGAGGGAGCTGCGGCCTGCAGCGTGCTGTTGTCAACCAGGTAGGGCTTCACCGGATGCAGGGGCCCATCGGGCGCCACGCCCTGCCCCGCCCCGCGGCGATTTGGCTCGCAGCCGATACAGCCGATGCCGCTGGAGACGTCCGCCGCTCGGTCTATAGTTGCGTTGTTCTCTCTCTCTCTCTCTCTCTCTTTCTCTCTCTCTCTCTCTCTCTCGTTCTCTCTCCCGCTCTCTCTAGGTTATGTTTTCTCTCTGTCTTTCGGACGCCCTCGGTCACCACGGTGACAGGCCTGGAACGAGGAAAGAGGGGTGGTGGACGGCTATACGCGCGCCCGCTTGGCATGTGTCGCTCTACGAATCGAGCGCGAAACGAAGGAGACAACGTCGTCTAAGGCGACGGTCTCGGCGGTGAAAGAAGAGACTGGAGATTCGAAATATATGCCGCTAAATGCCACAGGAAATGCGTGACAGCGGCCGTCTTGGAGGACAACGGCTTCTACAACCCAAGCGGCCGCTGCAGCGCCCGCGGCGAGTGCCGCCGTCGGAGTGGCAAATGAAATTGGCCATGGTAGGGCAGAAATTTGGCACTGGAGGCTCGACCTCCTTGGTCCAACTCCGGCCGGTATCCATTGTAAAATTGGATAAGAAATCTGCGATTTTGTTGTAGTCGCGCTTTTGCAAATTAACAGGGTCCGCAGTGCGTGATGCCGGCGTCCAGCCCTCTGAAACAAGCTGAAAAGGGTCGCCGTCATTCGTTCGAAAGCTGGGGACAGCGAAGCGTCCCGGAGCGGAGCGTGGCCACAAATGACATCCGCAAGCGGCTTACAATCTACGACAAGAGTCAGACAATTGCACTCACGCCAAAACGTTGTGGGAGGACAATTCAGACCATGTGAAGTTGGACAATTCTCCAGATTGTCGCTGCCGCTCTTGGCCCGCTTGGCATCGCGAGGCCCGGCAACGGGATCTTCTTCGGCCCTTGTGCACGGGGGGCCCGGGAGGGTCCACAGCGCGCAGACTGTACGAACGAACTGCGGGCGCAATGCTCCCCAGGCCTGTGCATCCGGGCATGTGTCACGCAAGGACCGCCATGTAGGACCGAACGCCAGGCAGAAGACGTCTTTCCACTCAGTGCGATAACCCATGCCATTGTGCACAATGCCAGTTGCTCGCCGCTGTTTTTCAAGATCTTTGCTTTTGATGGTCCCCCAATATGCCCGGTCGCGGAACGATCGGGCTGTGGCAAGGACGTTAACGGAAGCGGGTGACCGGAAGTGCTTCTCCCTCCAAGCATGATTGAAGATAAGATGCAAAATTCTGTGGCGCATCTGCTCCCAGCCGCCTGCGACGAACCATCTCTTGATCATGAGGGAGGTGCGGCCGTTGTACGACATGAGGCGCCCTTCCGGCCGGCGTCTCAACTTCAGGCCTTTCCGTAAAAGTCGCAGCTCCCACCTGCGCGCATAGACGAGGATGTGCTTGGTGACGTGCCAAGTGGCACAATCAAATACCGATGATGTCACTGGGCTGGCCACCCATGTCCCCAGCTTGTCTGCAATTGCTGCCCTGCCAGAAAATAAGTCCCAACGCTTCCAGAAACATCCTTCGCCTTTACCGAACCCGTGCTCTAGGCTGATCGTCGTGTCCCCGCGCCAGTCAAAGAGAGATCCCAAGACATTCAGGCGCTGCACATGGATGAACTCGGCGTCTGCGACGCGCATTGGGTGTCCAAAACCCTGCTGGCCTTCCAGACTACCACATAACATGTGTTCTAAGGATGATTGCTTCCATGTCAAGCCGCTCGAACAGATCGCTCGAGTCACATCGTTGGCCATCGTCTCGAACTGGACCAAGGAACTGGCAATTCAAGCAAGCACACAGTGTCTGCCCAGATCAAATGCGTGAGAACTGGTTTCTGGCCCCCCCCCCGCGTCTGCGAAGTCGAAGCCAAAGCGTCGATCGCGCCAGCTGCGCGCGACGGGTTCCATCTGATGCTCCATCACGCAGTTGAACTCATCGGGAGTTTCTACGCCTCCCTGCATCCCCCCACGCTCAAGGGGGAAATGTCACTGTCCAGCTCCAGTGATCTCGATGCGGCAGCTCATGCCGGAGATCTCGCGCATTAGTGCCTGCACAAGCTGAGGGTGGAGGCCTCGACCAAGCAAGGCGTCCTGCATGCGCTCGCGTTCCATAGTGTCGAAGGCCGCGCCGACGTCCGCACTGCCTACTACTAGTGGCAGCCCCCAGCGATGCGCGACAAACAAAGTCTGGCGCACAATTGCGACGATGTCCCCGCACCGGTACCCCGGGCGAAATCCCAAAGTCTCCACCGGCGTGGTGGTCAGCGAGCTGCGAAGAGCTGGCTGTAGACATCGAGCGTACCACTAGTGACAACAATCCAATTTACCAATCCATCTGAAAGCATTCAGAGACGCTGCCTGCATATCCTTCGGGATGCCACAAAAATCAATCATATTCCAGCTGTCCGGGGCCGCCGGGGAGACCCCCGCATACCTGTGACGAAAGTGCGTCCAGACATCAATCAGAAGCATGTAAGGAATCCCTTTATAGACCTCTGGCGGCACGTCGTCGCTCCCCGCGGCTGCGCCACTCCTCAGCCCAGCTCTGGCAACAAGGACCCAGAAAGGTGATATAGGAGGGGCCCGGATGCCATCCAACTGATAGCCCCGAGCGGTGGCGCGAAGGCGATGAAGGCAAAGGTGCTGTTTTTCTGCGTCGTTGGAAGGGTCGCCAAAGCGCCCGCGCCCAAAACGCCATGCCTTTTGCCGCCACTCCCCCCTGTCTGTGCTCGCCTTGCCCTCGATACTCGGGGAGCGGGGGATCGGTCGAGATCTACATCCATCGCAGAACTTGGATATCCTGCTTTCGTTCCTTCTGCGGCTTGCTAAGCGTTTAGCCTGACGTAACTTCCGCATTGCCTCGCGTCTCTCCTCACAATTACTCCCGAAAGTGCGTGAAACGTTCCGGCTGGCCTCGTGAACGGGCATGTTCCTGGTCGCACGTTCGCGTCGGAAACGGGCCCTCCGGGAGTCGAAGTCGATGGCGAACGCGCTCTGCTTCAAACCTGACTGAAGAGACCGAAGGTCGGAATGTTGAAGTTGAAGAGCCAATTCTCGGAATCGCTCTGCTTCCAAAGGAGACCGCGGGCACCATCCGCTTATAGACGGTCGGCACGCAGGAGGGTTGGCAAACGTGGACTGCGTGTGCAATGTTCCGTAAAGCGGTCTGTGGTCGGATTTCGAAAACAACCTGTGGTCCACAGTGCGTGCCAAAGCGGTTCCAGGTATCCCGCAAGAAACGAGAAGGAAATCGATTTGAGCGCGCGTTGCCTTGCGGCCTTTTCACCATCCGGGTCCACAGGCTCTCCACTGTAATGTCTCCGCCGTGGCTCTGGAAAGTATTCAGCGCTCGGAGCTCCAGGGCCGTCAACCATGATGTGACGAGCCTCGTCTTGGCAGGCGTGTGACTGGAACGAGGGGGGCAGAATAGCTGACCCAGGTACTCCCTCGGTCATAGGGGAAAAGTGATGTTAGCGTCGACCCCAAGAACGACGTCGAAATCGATCCCGGCATACAAACACCGCATGTGGTGCACATAATTAACAGTTTCCCGAAAGACTCTGTCGGCACGTCCTCTTTCTTCAAGGTGGTCCAAAATGTGCGCCGACAGAAACATGCATCGACCTAGTACTACCCCACACCAAGAATCACCGAATGAGATATTTCTCACGGCCGGCATCCAATGTCTAGGAATAGCGAAGCCGCAATCACAACCCTCCTTGGCGATGACGATATGGCCGGAGTACGTGTAGTGGTCAAGTTTCCCCCATGTTGGTACCTCTCGGAACACCCCCACTAAGTCGCCAAACTGCCCCCGAATCTTACGTAGAATGCGTGGTGCAGGATGCTGGCTCTTCCTACATGTGTTCCATGATACCGCGCTGAATTCATTGATACGGAGGCCCGACCCTGGGCCTTCTCATTTCTGCCGAAAGGCCCCGAGCTCAGCCTCGATCGTCTCGACTGTGACGTTGAAGACTGCGTGAAGCCCCTCCTTATTCCATTTGATGCTGACCGGGGAGTCACGATGCCCACCGTGGCCTCGCCGCTGGGTCCCTTGACGCAAAGTTTGAACTCGGGCAGCCATGTGCAGATCACCTCACCCTCGGATGTCAAAGCCCTGAGCTTGGTCTGCAAAAAGGCCCTCGCCTTGTCGCCCAACGCGAAACGCTTCCGTTCTTCAGGTTCCCTCTCCACCGTCGTGTACAATGTGTTGCCATTGTGGCGAAGGGACTCGTTCTCGGTAAGCGTCTCCTTGAATATGAGCCCGATCTCCACCGCTGCAGGGGGGGTCACGTGCACTCGAATATTGTTGCCCCTCGGCCCGAAGACCTGGAGGTCACCGACCTTGCCCATAAGTGAATGGGGGAGCTCAGCCTTCAGCTTGCTCACGAGGTCCTCCGCTTGGGCCCTGTTCATGCCCTTCGTGCGCCGCTCGGAGTACTCGCAGATACCTTTGATATCCACGAATGTCGGTACGAACTTCGAGGTTCCACGGCCTTGCTCGAGCTTCGTGAGGCGCTCGTCGTATCCCTTCCTCATGCTCGCCACATCCTCCTTTACCTCCTTAACGTCCTTGTTATTTATACGGGTCGCCTGCTTGATGGGCTTGACCTCCGCGTTGAGCTGCTGTTGCAACATCATGCCGAAGCCCTTCAAGAGGTTCTGGCTATTCTGGTCCAAGCCTAACCCCCGGCCCATCTGCTCCTCAGACTTCTGACCCGATCGTAGCCCGTTGGCTCCCCGCTTGCGGGAAGGCTCTGCGGCTGCGTCACCCTCCCCATCGGATGCGATCAGATCGTCAACGGAAAAATCCATCTTCTCCGCACCATCCAGACCAGAAGCAGCAGCAGCCATCACTGAATATAAGTGGTTACTAGGGTAGGCTACGTGAGTCGGAATGCCTTGAGTCGGAATGCCTTGAGTCGGAATGCCTTGTTTGTTGTTGTCTCTCTCTGTTTTTTTCTTTTGGTATGTACATATGCTGATACATATATGTGTAT